GTTCCGTTTGATCCTACCGAACCGCCAGGCCGATATGTCACGATACCGCATTGACAATTGGTGTTGGGATGCTGGACGAATCGGATAGCGAGTACATTCGATTTGATTCCCGATTGGCCGTATTGTTGGCCCATGGCCAAGTTCAGGAAATGCATGACTTTCGTTACTACGGCAATACCACCGCCATGCCGTCCGCGTTGCCGACGGTACACGACCACAATTACAACCTCATTCCCGTTGGAGCACAAGCCTTTGGATGGTTTCTATCTGCGGCTCTCATGACAATGAGTCTCGGATGGATCGTATGGGTACAACAACATCAAACAGCCGTCATTGTACAGGCCAGTCAGCCCGTGTTCCTCTATCAAGTCTGTGTGGGGACGTGGCTCATGGCGGCCGCTATCATCCACATGGGCTTTCAGGGGACGGAACCCACAATGGGGTTGAATACGGCGTGCATGTTCATTCCATGGTTGGTCTTTGTGGGATTTGTTGTGTCACTGTCGGCACTCTTCAGCAAGGCGTGGCGACTGAACCAGATTGTCAAATCGGGGGTACAAATGCGACGAGTACAGGTTCAGGTGGTCGATGTCATTTGGCCCTTTGTCTTGCTCATGACCATCAATGTCACGCTACTCACGGCCTGGACCATTGTAGCGCCATTGGAATATATCCGCGAAAATGATCCTCACAATGTCGACATGTTCGGACGACACGTGGAATCTTTTGGAGCCTGCAAAGTCAATCCGGACAATTCCGTGAGTCCGCTGTGGTTTCAAATACCCATCTTCTTGGTGAACGTTGCGACCTTGGGCATTGCCACGTATCAAAGTTACAAGTCACGGCATTTACCCACAGAGTTTTCCGAATCGAGCTACTTGGCCATTAGCATGGCCAGTTTGCTGGAGTCATTGTTACTGGGTGGACCCATCCTGTTTGTAACCTTGGACAATCCAACAGCCTTCTTTGTGGTGGGATCCGGTCTCTTGGCTGTTTGTTGCCTCTGCATCTTGCTGCCAGTGTTCATCCCCAAGTTCCAGAAACGGAATGAAGCCAGTCTCGCCACCACCCTAAGGGACTCTATCGTCAGTGCTTCCATGAGAAAGATGTCGTCTGCGCGCGGTGGCCTCGACAGCAGCCTTCGAAGCAGTCACGGCTTTAACGCAACCAGTTCCAGCAACTTTAGTCGGGAATTTCAACAACATCCACATCAATACTCTCCGCCACCGAGTCACGGCACCCGATCTGCTCCTGTGAGTGCGGACAGTTGGAACGTTACAACCTCTCAGTTCAGTGACGACGCACAGAGCCACGATAGCGACATTGACATTTCGGATACTCCCAAGAAGAGGGAGCCGTGGGGACGGATGAGCATTAAGCGTACCGCGAGTGACAAGCCCGTGACCGCCACCAGCAACGGGAGTTCGGAGAAGAATCGCACATCATCAAACCAGAGCAATCGTGGAAGTCGTGCACCCTCGACTCTGGTGAGTCGAAGTCAGTGCAGCAGCATGCCGGAGATCATGGAGGAGGATGAAATACGCGACGACAATGTGTAAGCTAGAAAGTGGCGGTCATCACTCACGAAGAGCTCGGAGGGAGTAAGCGCCAACCTTTCCGCAGTACCCGTAACGTAATGCGGTGTGTACGGAAGGCGATTAGCTATGGCCATTAATATATAATATTCATAGTTGCATAATAGCTGCCATTCACGATCCTGCGGAGGCTCGGGTGTCCATACGACAGCACCATCAAGCAGCTCATCCGAAATGGGTTGGGTGAGTGTTCAGCCATTCTTTGACTGCCTCCAGATCCTTTAGTGCTCCGACCTTCTTGCAAACCTCCTGGTGGTCATGCCAGTCACTTTTTTGGCAAGCTTTGTCACAGTATCGGGCAAGTCCACAGGCGGCACATCTTTTTAGGTTTGGACCGGCACCGCCAACGCGATCATCAATAGCCTTAACGCATTTGTTGTAAGTGCAGACAACAACATCTGGTCGGCTGCGTCTCGTTCGGCATCTTTCAAACATGGCTTCCATGTTTTGAACATCCTGGTCCTCCTCTCCCCAAAACTTCCTGCAGAACTCATAGCATTCATTCCAATACCTTCTTCCAGCTAGAGCAAAAACGGTCTGACCCTGTTGACGTTGTAGATGCGGCTTACAGCCATTTCCCAATGCAAAGATCGACATGTAGTAGAGCCATGGAATTTCTGCGACTGCCAGCCTACGCCATCTGGCCTCCGCCTCTCCCCATTGCATCACGGTGAAACCGTTGACCATTGGATCCTTCCGGTAGCGCAGCTCCATGAGAGCAGCAGCCGTCCAGTGTGCCCCGCCAAGGGTTTTCAGCACGCGAGCTTGCAGATCATGAATTTTCTCCACCGGTGAACCCCCCAACAGAAAGATACTCTGCACTTGCTTCTCTAGGTTTTCCTCCTCGTCAAGCGGCAAATCTAATTTCCTATGCGCTGTATTGCAAGCAATGCAAGAGGCGACCACTTCTTCGCTGGAGTTCTCTTCGAGTGAGAGCCCCCAAACGGCGGTGCAACGATTGCAGGCTGGACAGAGCATTGTTCGACTCAGGTCGACTGCTCGTACGCATCTACCGCAGTTACAGAGAAATGAGTAGGAACGCTGCAGCTTTCGACGACGCAAGCGTGTTGAAGCAAGCAAGTCTTGACCTTCAAGATATGAAATCGTAACCAAGTCGCCAGGAGAGATTTGTTGGACAGCACGTACCACCCCTGCGTGGAATATAGCATTTGGGCAACAGCTGTGATTGATCCTAGCATGCACCTCGAATACGGCTGACTTCGTGCCTTGGTATTGAGTTGCATTAAACTTCAAACACTCAAATGAAAAACAGCCTTGCTAGGTTGGTGGCCTCTTCGTTCGTACAGGATAGCTTCTTTGCTTGATTGGCCACATCTTCATACTGCACGGAATCTCAAACTGAGTAAGATGGGTCCCAGTTCTCTTCAGCTCTTCTATTGTCGGACAGAACAAATCCAGCACAATCGCCTGTTTTTCTGGTGCAACACCAGCAAAGGCAGTCTTTAGCGTCTCCAACATCCAGGTAGCCCGATGGGGTTGCTCGAGGATTGCAAGCAACGGTGTTCCGCAGTATTCATCGCCAAAGGCGTATGCTTTTGTGGCAAACAATGCTCTCCCTGTCCCTTCCTTTCGAATTTCGGCATGTTGGTGGCAGGGTAAGGTTTTCGTTGTCTTTCTCGTGTGTTGCTCTAGCTACAAGCAAGCTTAGCTTGAAGCTGCGATTGCATGAAAATCTGAAAATTGCTGCCTTGGCTGCGGCTTGTGCCACGCTACGCGCTTCCACGCTCATCTCCGTGGAAATCCTTGCGGTACCGGCACGGTACAGTCTGACCACGGTCCGTTTTAGACGTTTCCACCACCATTTTCCTTTTCTCAAGCCGCCTCATTTTTTCACCAAAGCCATCACATTGTCTTGTCATTGTCATTGTCATTGTCATTGTCACGAAAGCCAAAGCAGATAGATAGATGAAGACCATGCGAGTTCCTCCTTTGGCAGCGGCGTCCAAGATGAACTCGAATGAGATGCCAACAATCTTTCCAACAACAGTACCACTATTCCTGGATATATAAATCCCAAGTGCTTCATCTGGTTCAAAAAGCACTTCAGCTCTCCAAATAATACATGCCGATAATAATAAATCCAGCAAGTACCTGAGCTCTACGGAAACATTGGAGGTGGTGGTGGATGCACTCCGACTTCAAAATGCAGAGTATCAACGGAAAAACAAGGAGAAAGTGACCAAGCAAGTGCAGACGGTTCTTCAGTTCCTGGCATCCCAGCAAAAACAGCAAGAAGAAGAAGTGGTGTCGGCGGACGAAGCACAAGCTCGCCAACACGATGCCCAGAGAGCTGCAACGAGTGCGATACCTACCAAGTCCTTGAATTCCTCACTGCAAAAAGGATACCGGCAACAAGTCTCTGCAGGTACCGATGGAAGCGAAAAAGAAGACACGACAACCATGACTCACCGAGTCGAAAACGAAAATTATCGATCGACGAAAATCCAGCACCAGTCAAAAGTCGGGATCCACCAAACGCGAAATTCGGTTGGTAACCAATGACGATTTTATGGACGACCAGGACGAATCCCTCTCTGGAGACCCCTTGCTCGTCCCACGGAACGCTATCGCAGTTTGGGTGGCATGAGCCGCACCATTCAACAAATCAAAGAATTGGTCGAATATCCCCTGGTGCGTCCCGAAGTCTACCGTCATTTAGGTGTCACACCACCGCGGGGAATCCTGTTGCGCGGACCACCGGGAACGGGAAAGACTCATTTGGCCAATGCCATTGCCGGTGAACTGGGTGCTATCGGTGCTAGTTATTTTCGCGTCAGTGCCCCCGAATTGGTGGCGGGCATGTCGGGAGAATCGGAACGACGCATTCGAGATTTGTTCCAGGCAGCTGCCGCAGCGGCACCCAGTATTGTCTTTTTGGACGAATTGGATGCCATTGCTCCCAAACGCAACAATGATTCCGGACGAGGGATGGAAAAGCGCATGGTGGCACAGTTGCTGACCAGTATGGATACATCGCTCACCGATGCCTCGGTGATTGTCTTGGGCGCCACCAATCGACCGGATGCACTCGATAGTGCGCTTCGACGGGCCGGACGATTCGATCAAGAAATTGAATTGGGTGTCCCCAACGAAGCGGCGCGATGTGCCATTCTCAAAACCATGACGAGTGGAATGAGATTGTCGGGAGATTTTGATTTTACTCTACTCGCCAAGAAAACACCGGGTTTTGTGGAGCCGATATTCGGAGTTTGACCAAAGAAGCAGCCGTGGTGGCCGTCAATCGAATCTTTTCCAAGTCTTGTCGTGAATGACAGTAACAACAACAATAGTTCCTCGAAAGTAAAAAGGGAACAACAGACGACAACAACAGTACGGAAGATGAGATTCGGAAGCTACCGCCTCTGACTCCGGAGCAATTGGATCCCTTGTACGTGACAATGGACGACTTTTTAGAAGCCGTTCCACGAGTACAACCGTCTGGAAAGAGAGAAGGATTTGCTGTCGTGCCCGATATCACCTGGGACGATATTGGAGCCATGGACGAAATTCGACAAGAAATCACCATGAGTGTCCTCGAACCCATTCGGAATCCCGAAAAATTCAAAATGCTCGGCCTCTCCTTGCCAGCTGGAGTTCTCTTGTACGGACCCCCGGGTTGTGGAAAAACGCTGCTGGCCAAGGCTGTTGCCAACGAAAGTGGAGCGAACTTTATCAGCGTCAAAGGACCCGAATTGCTGGACAAATATGTGGGTGAAAGTGAACGCGCCGTGAGGCTCGTCTTTGAACGTGCCAGAAGTTCTAGTCCATGCATTGTCTTTTTTGATGAGTTGGTAAGTGGTGAAAGAGCAAAAAAAGACACTTTGCGAAATGCCATTCCTAATGCAGTCTAACGTCGCGATGATGAAATTGCCACTGCAGGATTCGCTCTGTCCCAAGCGCGGAAGTTCCGGAGAAGGAGGTAGTGGTGTTAGTGAACGTGTCGTTAATCAGCTGCTTACGGAAATGGATGGTCTAGAAAGCAGGCGCAGTGTGTTTGTGATTGCTGCCACAAACAGACCAGAACTGATTGGTGAGTTGCCGTATCCTAGGTCATCACGCAGGTGTTGCTTTGGATTACTGTGGAATTGCTCATCCTCCTTGCTCGCGCGCTTGCGGTGTTTTGCTTGTGTAGACCCTGCGATGATGAGGCCGTAAGTTCCATCAATGCAGCATGTCTTCCTCTGGTTTGCCTCTTCTGAATCTAACTGTTGGTCTTCCGTCATGTCTCGTTGCTTTGTAGTGGACGACTCGACAAACTGCTCTACGTTCCCTTGCCATCCGTTGATGATAGGGTTTCTATATTGACGGCTCTCTCCGCAAAGGTCAAATTTGGTCCAGATGTTGTGCTGGATACCATTGGACGAAGCGAAAAGGCAAATGGCTACAGTGGAGCCGACTGTGCGGCCCTGCTGCGCGAGGCTGGTTTGGCCGTGCTGAAAGAAGATTTGGAAAGGAAGGAAAAGCGAGAGGGCGTGGATCTTTGCATCGAGGCGCGGCACTTCGATTACGCATTTGACCATGTCATGCCTTCGGTATCTAAGAAAGACCAAGCCCGTTACGACCGAATACGACATCGCATGGCCCGAGCACGAACTCGAGGAACGGCCTCTGATCTTAGCGAAGGAACGGAGCAAACTGGACCGACAATCAGCACCTAGTAGTCTACAGTACCCTCCTCCTGTGCCCTGGTAGCCACCATCAAGCATCCGATCCCTAGGCTTCAAGTTCGTGGAGGGAATGGGGACGAGGAATGGGCTGCTGAACACGGTGTACCAGCTTTTGGATTCCGTGTATCGAATCTGTCGGTCCCGTGCACCCCTCTTGCTGCCAGTGGGCGCTTCAGGCAGCAGACAGCCGCTGGCTAAAAGGAACCGCCCCCTTGGGTTTGGAAATGGAAACGGATGTACATTTTGTAGTTCTTGTCGATTACAGTAAATAGTATTACGATTTACCAGGTCCTTGTTTCACATTAGTGCCGCCAGCGCACAAGCCTTCTGAATCTCCATATCTAGCCTTTTTGAATTGTTGTCATTCTCACGAACTCAATACACGCACCATGGTAGGTTGAGACGGCAGGAAGAAATCCTCCAGGATGTGACTTGAGATGTTCATGTAGATTGTTGGCAATTTCATAAGAACGATTGTCTCCTTGAAGTTCAAAAGAAATGATCAATGTGCCATTTCCCTTCTCACTGGGAGAAAGATTGAGTGTCAGGTTGACTTCTTCGTCTGTACAAATTGATCGCATATCTTCTAGTGTGTATTGACCCTCGCTGCAACTACTACCAAGGTCATCAAATCCCCAGCCACCAGCTTGTCTGCCTAGCAGAAAGTCGTCTTCAACAAAAGTTTCAGTGCATACAATTCCAAATGCAGCACTAGCATTCGTTCCTACACCATCATCCAATAATAACTTCGCAGTCCATTCATGGATTCGTTCCTTGATGGGAGCAATATTGAGGATATCGGTGTTGACATCAGGCTTACCCGAACCAGTCTCTGTTGTGAGAGTTTTTTTCCAGACACGGGAACCCCGTGCTGCTTGAAAAGACCATCTATGGGCCTGTTGAGCAGCAATGGCTTGCTTCTTGTAAGCTTCATTTATTTCATCAGCCATGAACAGTCCAGATGAGGCAACTGAAGTGGATAGATCAACTGGATTTATTTTTTCCAGCTGAAGGTTGCTTCCGAGCTTTTTGGCAAGCTCTTCTCGATCCTTTGGGTTGATTTGAACCCACTGTGTCAGAAAGAGGAACAGACCATATTCGTTCATTGACATTTGATCATCCGTGAGAATCTGTTCCACCAGAGCTGCATCCACACATGCAATTGCCTTTGTATCTGCTAGTGCTTTGCGGCTGGATCGAACCAATGACCAAGCCAGCTCAAGCAATGCTGGTGGAACAGAGGGCCCTTCTTTGTGGCAAGTGGCCAAAACTATCAATGGCAATGAGGGGAATTGTTTCACTACTTTTGAGATGCTCTTCTCTATCTCTTTGACAAGACTAGGTAAATTGTAGTACATTGCAGCGGCTGAGAGAGCTACCAGTTTTTTAGCCAGCTCCTTTTGAGCTTCCCACTGCTTTGCCTTGTTCTCTTCACAGGCCTTTCGTTTCTTCACATTGAGACTGGCACATGTATCTGTGTGAATGTATTCCACAATCTCCTGCATGATGCTTCCACTGAAGCCAACATCTACCTGTGGCTTGGTCGCCTCTGAGAAATTGTCGAGAAACATGCGGCGAAATACTGGAGATCTGGCGGACCAATGTAGTGCTTTGCCCGCACTTTTTGGCCATCATTTGTTGCCAATGTTACATCCTGAAGTTCCTCGTCAGTCAGAAAGCTTGATAGGACCTGGTCAAGAGGTAATTCTTTGTCAGAGTTGTTCATGGTGCAGATTCGATTTGAGTCTCTCGTTGCTGTTGCCCGTCGTCTCTTGGTTTGATGATCCCGGCGGGGAGAGGATGATGGGGCGAGCAGTTGCTACTGCCCCCCGAGACCCCCATCAGAACCGGTACGTTACTGCTACCCGCACCCTAATCTCCCTGGAGAAGAAAATCGAAACTCCGTTCATCGAGTTCAATTTTTATGGGGGGTTTAGCGAGTAGGCCAGCAATTCGAATTGGCGCCAAAAATTCAATGACAAATTTTAAATGACAATGACAACCAGGATACCGGTAGGCTGCCAAGAAAAATCACAATGCACGAGGAGTTTCTCTTGGTCCTCTTGTTGGCGTTATCTGGTAGATCCTATCAATCAGGCTGGTGGTTCATTCGATGCTACCTTATAAAGGATTCTTTATGCATCACACCCTCGGAGATTCCAAGCAGTCGAGCCCTGTAAGTGACAGTTTTCCTTGAGGACGCTCAGCTCCTGGAAGAGACGGGCACTATCTAGCCTAACTAGACAAAGCCACCCAATTGCTGTTGAAACCATGGCTGAACGTAACAATGATTCTTCCCCCTGGTGGAAAACGGAACGACTAGAAGAGGGAACAACCCTGGTGTATCTCAAATTTCCAAGATGCGAAGGGGACAAAGAGGACAATAACTTGGTTCCCTTGTCAGTATCTAAGCTAGAAAAGCTTTGCAAGGAGCTCCCCATCTTTGCGGCCCTCTTGTTTGGACACCCCATGATGGCACCCAAGCAATGTACCAATCACGATGGTTTTCCCATTTTCCCAATGCCCTCATCTGTGGCCGTTTCCGAGTATCCAGAGGGTACCAAGCTGACACAAGTGTTTTATGGTCTTGTGGATTATCTACTCTTGGGAATGGACCATACACACCGCAATCTGCATTCCGAAATCATTCTTATGGCGGATCAGTTGGGTGGGTCCGATGGCATGGATGTATTCAAAATGCAAAGGAGGGAGGATGCACCGAAGACCCCAGGAGACGATACCAAAGAAACCTACGATTGGGTTGTGGTCTCGAAACCAAAAAGTTGTTTTAGCCCAGGTGACAAGTGGTTTACGGAAAACCAAATTAAAGTGCAGAAGAAAGGATTTTCATTCGTCAAGCTCAACTTTGAAGAGGGGAAATGGGAGCAAATCTTTCGACGAGACAAGAATGCAGCCAAAAACAAGAAGAAGCGGAAGCGGGCATCAGTCAATGATGACAGCGAGTAGCGAGAGCTAATTACCGAAATAATAAGCCAATGTTTCAATTGAATTATCCCACGCTTCCTCGACGCAGCTGTAGCATTGATCAGAAAGGCGAATGATGATGAGTAGCACGAGGCAACAGCAACTCAGTCGGCTCCACAAGACCAAACCCACCGCAAACACAGTCATGCAACAATAGATTTCGTTGACGAATGTTAGTGCAGCACAGTAAACATCTGCCTCATGCCTCTTGCTAGAGCGTTTGCTCGGGCGTCGTGCCGGTTGCACGTCGCCACGATCAGCCTGGTGCAAGAACGTCATGGAAAGCGATACCTGAACGACCTCCGACCCTGTTGGTACAGCTACATGACTCTTGCCGAATTCCACGGAAAGAGCACACCCGTGCGGGCCGGGCCACAAATGGATCTACGACGGATCTTTTCATGCCAATGTATTATCTATCCGAGGCACATGGTTTGAGCCCAGAACTGGGTCTGCGACTGCATTTCCAAATTGGCATCCATCCGAACAACCGAGGTTTCCAAGTGGCATGATTTATGGATCCCCGATGTGTTGGATCATCTAATGAACCAGTCCATTCTTGACTTTTCGCGTGGCGCCGTGAGCGCCCCTGGAGCGCAGATTGCGTTTGATGATGTTTCTAGCAGAAGCAAACCTCGAACCAGGCACCATCGAACCCCAATGCTCAGCACCGACGGCATTCCCCAACATCGTGCCCTTGCTATCTCTTGAACTCTGTCCATCACCCAGAGCACCGTTCTCGGGACAAGGTTCCTGAGCTGGTTAGACTGCTTCAGTGGCTTCCTGTGTTGGGTCTCTTGGATGGGTCCACGCACTCCTGGGAGGCCGATCTCGTGCACGCAGTGCTAGTGGAGTTTATTCGGCGACAAGCTCGTTGGGTGGGACCCTTGATGGAAAAATTCAATCTGGGACGGGCGGTTGTGCGGCCCAAGGGTGGGTACTACCGTACGAGACGGCGCAGCAGGGAGGACACACCCGTCGTAAGTATACCAAGGGCAAATTCCACCGTGAGCCGACCAGCCAAATGCTCCTCCGATGTACCCAAGAGAACATGTCTCCCAAAGAGCTCATGGAACTCTGGTGTGAGACCAGCCGTTGTACAGTCACACCTTCTACAAGGTCTTGGCACAAGGGAAGACGCTGGAGGATGCCAATGCAAAGTACGACCCTGTCTTGGGAGCGGCGCATCCCAAGGACATTGCTGCCATTCGTCAGGCCAAGATCGAGATTGAAAGCGTGGGTAGCCTCCGTGAGCTGGTTGGGTTTTGGAGATCGCGCGGACAATGACATTTATGATTTGGGTCTGTGGGAGCTGGATTCGGGCGAGGGATAGCATTGCGTGGGCCGTGCATATCCTGTCGAGGGTGGCTGGAAGGCGGCGCCATCAACCCCCCAGCCGAAAGAAGAAGGGACCAACTGCGATCCACAGAGGGGAGCCGGGCATCCGGCCCGTCGAAAAGTCGGGCTGATCCCTCCTCGGCCGAATCCATTTACCTTGCTGGACGAGCGAGATGAGGAGCAGTCGTAAAGGAAGATGCGTGCGTAGAGAAGAATCACGGGGGCATGTGCCCAGGGCGGCGACGTGTTATCCTGGGCCGAATCTAAGAATCATGGGACGTGTGCTCTGGTTTAATACCAGACGCGCCGGCACAGAGGCGTGGATTTTACTTCACCCCGGCGGCATTGCGTTCTTCCAACAACAGCACAAACGTTCGGTCCCTTCCCTTTACAATTGACAAGCTGCCACGAGAACAATACCGTATGGTGGCAACTCAGTTTTCAATACTTTAGTACATTCAGATTATTTACCGCAACTACTGTTCTAAGGCTCGTCTTCCTGGGATCTTCTTCCTGGCTCTACAACTGTTGGAATGTTGGTTCTTGAATTGTGTTCATTCTCATGAACATAATACGTGCACCATTGCGAGTTGAGACTGCTGGAAGAAATCCTCCAGGATGTGCACTGAGATGATCATGTAGATTGTTGGCAATCGTTTCATGGGAAACCTTGTCTCCTTCAATAGACTCATAAGAAATGCTCAATGTGCCATTTCCCTTCTCCGTGGGAGAAAGATTGAGTGTCAGGTTGATTTGCGTCTCCACACTGATATCATAGTGTGATTGTTTACCTTGTTTGCCCTCACTGTATGCATCCCCACAGTCATCATATCCCCATCCACCCTTTTGAGAATAAAGCAGGGAACCATTACCTGCAAAAGTTTCAGTGCACACAATCCCAAGTACAGCACCTGGTGGATCAAAACCTTGGTCGTCCCATAGCTTCACAGTCCATTCGTGGATTCCTTCCTTGATTGGAGGGAAATTGAGGGTGTCTGTATTGACAGACCCATCTGAGCCAGTCTGCTCAGTGAGAGAGATTTTCCACACAGGGCAAGCTCGTGATCCTTGGAAAGACACGGCATGGGCCTGAGCAGCAAGGGCTTGCTTTTTGTAGGCTTCATTGATTTGATCAGCGGCGAACAGCCCAGATGAGGAAACTGAAGTGGAAAGATATGCAGGATTTATTTTTTCGAGCCGAAGGTTGCTTCCCAGGTTTTTGGCAATGGCCTGCCGATCCTTTGGATTACTGTCAACCCATTTAGTCAGAAAGATGAAAAGGTCATATTCATCCATTTCCAACTTTTCATCTTTCACAATCTCCTCCACCAGAGTTGCATCCACACAAGCATGTGCCTTTGCTTCCATAAGGACTTCTTTGTTGGCCCGAACAAATGACCATGCAAGCTCAATCAATGCTGATGGAACAGAGGGTCCTTCTTTGCGGCAAGATGCCAAGACCATCAATGGCAATGAGGGGACTTGTTTCACTACTTTTGAGATGCTCTTCTCTATCTCTTTGACAAGACTAGGTAAATTGTAGTACATTGCAGCGGCTGAGAGAGCCACCAGTTTTTCAGCCAGCTCCTTCTGAGCATCCCACTGCTTTGCCTCGTTCTCTTCACAGGCCTTTCGTTTCTTTCCATTGAGACTAGAACAATCATCTGTATGAATATACTCCACAATCTCCTGCATGATGCTTCCACTAAAGCCAACATCTACATGTGGCTTGGTTGCCTCCGAGAAACTGCCCAGAAACATGCGGCGAAAGACAGAAGATCTAGCCGACAACACAAAGCGGTTTGCCCGCACTTTTTGTCCATCACTTGTTACCAATGTTACATCCTGCAGTTCCTCGTCAGTCAGAAAGCTTGACAGAACCTTGTCAAGCGGTACTTCTTTGTCAGTGTCGTTCATGGTGCGGATTTGATTTGAGTCGAGTGGAGTCAAGTCTCTGGTTGCTGTCTCTCTTTGTTTCTTCGTTTGATTGTAGCAGACATCATCTTGGCGGAAGAGGATGATGGAGGTGGGGCAGTGTCTGATGAGCCAACCCGCCACCGCGAAATCAGAACCGGTACGGTACATGTACCCCCACCCTAATGAACCAAATCAATGTGGAGAACATCTTCAATGTATTCATATGCCCCCTGGGTCGTCTCCGTTTCCAGTACTAGTTTAACTTGTCTACTAATACAGGATAATGGTGAATAGAATCGAATGAATCATGTGGCTTATATTTAGGGTTTAGGTTTTGCAATTTTGAAGTCAACGTGTGTTAAGTGGAGGGTTGGCTCGCTTCCGCTGGAGCTTGGTGTCTTCTTCTTCGTCTGTTTCCCGCTCTTCGTCGGAACTGGGGTTTTCGGTAATAGGATCGTGAGAAGTTCGGCAGCTTTCTTCATTATTGTGGAGTGTCATCATTCTGACTATTCGCAGGTATACTTTGGCCGACGTGGTTCGTGGTCGGTAACAGGGGACGGGAATGACGTATTTGGTTGCATTGGAACTGGGATATGATTTGCGAATAATATTGGGAGGTCCAGTATTGAGGATTTGAAAGTGAGGGCACGGGGGATTTATATGGGAAGCTACTGTAGGAGACTTACCACCGTTCTCCTGTTGGTGATTTTCCAGAAGAGTTCCAAGAAGGCCTCAAAGTTCATGCCGGGGGGTAGTGCAAACCATGGGGAAGGGCCAGTGTGGCAGCTTGAAGGCGAACTGGGTGAGTAGAGGTGGGGGGGGGATGGTGTGCGTGCGTAGTGGCTTGTAATAATGTTGCGACGGGCACCAGTGTGGCCGCATGCGACCGAAGTCCGATGCATCCAAGGTTTTTTCGGTGAAATCAACGGACGTAAGCGTGAAGCCGGGAGTTGACCACGAGGCCAAATAGGTACACATGGCCTTGTCGTCCTTGAGGAATCGGATACAGTCGGTATTCGCCTTGATCGTCCAAGAATCCGTCACAAGTGAGTCATGATGTCGGAGTGGGTGAGCAGCTCACTCCAGGTGTATGACCTTGTACCACTTGTCCTGTTCGTCGAGAACTGGTAGGGTTCATCCTTCTTTGCCGGGTCGTACACGTATTGCATGTAGGCCGGTTTAAAGGTTCCATTGAACCACTTCACAGGCCATTCCTGGGGTTGGGATGCTGGGGTAAGAAACGAGTTCACCAGTTTGTTCGTCAACTCACCTCTGGGGCACATGATAACAAAGCTCTTTGGTCATAAGAAGTACTCGTTGTGGCCTCGTACATAAAGGAACTTTTCCCCATCAGCAAAACGGGGTCCACCAATTTGAAT